GGGGTTTGTACCCCGTTACACTTTTAAGACAACCGTCACCCTTTTTGGGTCGACAAGGGATGAAATCTGGGTAGATAGTGATTTAATTCCAGCGCAGCAGGCTGAAAGAGAGGAAGCATCTGGAGCCCAAGGGACAGGTCAAAGTACAGCGACACCGGTATCGGATACTGAGGTAGCGAGGCCAATTGAATCTATGGCAGCACCGGCCGTTGCGAGCACAAACGTCGGTGTTGGGGTTCCTGTATCAGCACATGTTACTCAAGCTATCCGAGATTATGTACCTCTCGCTGGTTTTACTGTGGTACCAAAACGGCGGGGGGAGCGCTCAATTATTCTTGATTGGGGTGTTCGAATATCCGCAACGATTGATGGTAAAGATTACGTCGGCTGGATTTGACAAGGTAGCCATGAATGTCGCCGCAAGAACAAAATTATCCCGCTATATGGCAACACTTCTAAAGCTACGAAGCACATGGGTGATGAGCATTTTCTAACGGCAGCAAAAGTGGCAACAGAGAACAGCAGAAAACGGAATCGAGCGGAGCAGCTGGAGCGTATCCGAAACAACGTTTTGAATGGCGATGACAGCAGAAGAATGACGTTATTGTTAGAAACAATGCGTGTGGTTAACAACAATCTACCTTTTCGAATTGGAGAATATGATGCTGCTTGCTGACTTTACTCTTGGAGACGACTTTCGGGTCACGATCAACAATCAAACGGTGACTCGCTCAATTGTCGAGCTATACACAGGTGCAAAAACCGCTGATTGCGCTTACATTGACCGCAGCAGAATTCTAGGAGTGCCGATATTTACAGTGGTGTGTGATATACTGACGTCGAAGACGCAAAAATCGACCAAATACTTGGGCCTTCGTCTCTACTTTATTGACAATAACTGGCAATTTCAGTCTATTCTTCTCGGTACACGACATTATGACCCCATGTATGGCGAGAGAAGTGAAGGAAACCGCGAACCATTTAAGCGGTGGATTCTAGAACTTCTTAAAGACTTCGGGCTGACAATTAAAAATGTCTATGCGGCAACCACCGACGCCGGTCCAAATGTCAAGTGGATGATGGCGACAGGCCTCAATCTCAAATGGGAATGGTGCATGCCACACCGCACAAACGCTGCAACCAAGATGGCATTTGGAATTGTTCCACAGCGGTGCAACTCGAAGAACCCCGATGGAACAGATTTGCTTTCACGCATCGCCCGCACTACCTATGCAATTCGATCTAATGCAAGCATGGGGAGCCTCTTTGCGGAACTTTGTGAAATGGCGAAGAATGGTGCGTCCACACAATTGCTTGAGCATAAAGACCATAGATTTATGGGGTTGGAGAAGGTCATCAAGCGTCTACTAGGAAAATGGGATCAGGTTGAAGACTGGTTACAAGAACGGATCAACAAAGCAATTCGAGAACGAAAAGCGGTACCAGAGGGCTTACCAATTGCAGATGACAAAGAAACCCTTCTCCAATTGTATGGACTGCTGAACCCTACTGCAGCTTTCAATACTAAAAGCCAGAAAGAAGATACCAACCAAGTCGACGTTCTTCTGACTGTATTTCAACTTCGAATAACAATTTTGGACGAGACGCAGCCCATCAAAGACAAGGTGCGATCGCCTTCGGAGCCGCCGTTGTACTACCAAGTGAACAATCTTACTCGACTCGCCAAAGCTACACGCGCCCTACTAGCAAAAGCATTCCACAAGAACTTCTTCTGTCGCTATACAGACCCAGCACGTATTCGCGATACATCGTATATACCGGAAATGCAAATGTTGCTGCATCCGTCATCAAAAACCCAAGACAATAATCTCGCTAAGATTGTCAAACTTTGCAACGAGCAGTTGATTATTGATCCAGAGCAACCGCATCTTCGACTAGACGAACAAAGTGTTGCTCGGAATGTAGCGTCGGTAAAGGCAGCTGTGATGAATCGACTACGAGCCCTAAAGCTCGATATTGCAAAAGGAACCGCTCTCGGCTCACGGACCTCGACTCATCCACGACAACTGCCCAGTTCAGACAATTCTTTTGCTTCCATGTTGGAGTTTCCAAGTCTGCAGCCACAAGCGGTGTTTTCGGAAGATCTTATGGAGTTTACCGAAGAAGCCGCGGTAACCGATGTGAGCGAGATGTGCACGAAGCTCGAGTCGAAGAAGAACTTGATCGGCGGTTAGCTGACCCGAGTAGACTGCTGATCACTAACTCACAACCCGAGACAATTCTCTCATTCTGGAAACGGCAGCAAGACAACTACCGTATCATGCCTATTGCGGCGAAAGTTCTCTTCTCGATTCCGTCGTCCGCCGCTCAGATCGAGAGAGATTTTGGGATCACAGGAATGCTAGTTACGAGCCACCCAACTAGCATCGCGAAGCCCAATACTGACATGTGCTCTTTTCTCAACAGGAACCGCAGATTCGTCGATGTAGCAAAGTGTAAAAGACTTTCCGACGCTGAAGTGAAGCAAGCTATTCGAGCTAATTCGCTCGTACCCCTCACTTCCAACGAAATCGATGCTCCATTTTCCACGGAGTGGGAGAAT